AAATTATCATACATACACTAGGTACGTTCCTCTAAGTCTTCCTACCAATATGACCAAATTGCGAAAACAAGGTCAATCAACTTCTTTTAACAAATAGTTCCCTATTCTCTAGTTGTGTTTAATTTTTGTAGTTCAGCAACGCCTGGTTCCCGCATTTTTACCGCCTTGATTCCTGTATATCTAATCTAATGCCACTCAGATAATTGGCAACGAACTTCATTTACCTAGCCTGAGTCTGAGTAGACGACGAGAATATTAGGTATCCTCTTTAAATTTGTATGGTTGGTCTGGGCGTATCTAGACCGCTATACTTACTACGGGTTGATTTTACCACTAAATTCTAAGATACTTGGGATTCCGTGTGGCTGACTCTCACGAATAGTTGTACAAAATTGTGAACCTGTAGTGTCTCACTACGCGGGTTTGTTTTGTCACGGCATTTATTGCTACGTCATTTTATACAAAGACCACTTTCATCCGATTGTCCACTAGTCATTTTTGATCAAGTGTACAAAGCCTTCCACTTGTCTGCCGCCATGCGCCACTCAATAGTCGATCTTACATCAAACGAAGTATTAGGCATGAACTCCTAACTTAAATGACTCCTCCGCTGCACCCCTGCCCTTCTGGCGATCGCTTCTACTATCCCCGTCGTCACTTCGCGCCGCACTCTCAGATCGCCCGTGGAAGCTCCCGATGTTCAGTTTTCTGATTGCCAAGGCTACTCTTCCTAAACTGAATTGGATGTCGTTCATTGCGCCCTGCCTCTTAACATATCCTACCTCCACTTACGCCTTTCCTTTCTTTTCCCCTTCGCATTTGCGTTGGTTGGACCACCGTATAGGATATGATTGTGCTCATCCAGCATCTAAGTCAAAATCAAAGTGCCTCAACGAGATTGTCCGCACCCGAAGAACTTGCCTTGAGCCGGTGCAAAACAATGAAACCTCTTCGCAGTCTTCTACATGGCTAAACAACTACGACCCGCCGCCTCAGTTGCCCCCTTCTTGCTCATCCACCTTCACTGCCATTCATCTATATTACAACCAATCTGCTACTTATACCTGATTTCTGTACTATTTATATTTTTCATTATTTCTTATTCTATCATGTATATCTGTCGCCTGACATCTCATGGTGCCACTCGTCTAAAGCGTCGAATTATTTCAAGCTGATACGTGTGGCACAGTCTACAAATGCATCAGGAAGAGTGGCCAGAATTACACAGGTAAACAGACGTAAAATACTGCAGTGAACCCAATTTGAAGCTTTTTGGTAAAGATAGTACTACTGCCCTAATAGAATCGTGGACCGGAGTGTTCTGTGCGAGCCTTAGTAGAGACGAGATAAGATCGTATTTGTGCAATATCTTTTGGACGCTAATCTTAACCTGCTTTAGCCCACCTCAACAGAGTGGGTATTTGTCTTGGAATTATCTTAACGATACTCAGGCTGGCATCTAGTATGATCTTCTA